TAATTACAAACACTCCATATTTTTAGTTATTCCTTTTGGTGTGTAATTACCCAGTTAACACTGCCATCTGTCATTCTGCTTAATGTGTCTACAACTATATTTGTTTTTTCTGAATGATAATGTATATCCAAATTATAATTTTTAATGAGCTCAAGTCATCACCTTCTATGTGAAAATATACTTCAAATTTTGATGATTAGTGAATATTTCACAGCTACATCCATATAAAAAATGCATTCATATCTTCTAAACAAATGCAGTTTATATTAGCTCCAGATCATGTGCCTGGATAATTTTCTTATGATTCTTCAATTCTCTAGAGGCATAAGTAATTATCTTCTCGTGTTACATAACCATACATCCAAGTCCTCTTAAAAGACGCGTTGTTGTAAATCTGGAAGTTGCTATTCCAGAGGAAATCTTCAATGTTGGAGTTGTCATCAAACACATCTTCAACTTCTAAAATACTACCTCACAACAATTTGTCCACTCAAATTTCACTGTCTTTTGAGTCAATTTGGACAAAGGCATTGCAATAGGAGAGGACCCCTCAACAAATCTCTTGTAAAAGCCTGACAGGCCTAGAAAACTTTAGACTTCTATAACAATGATTGGTTCGGGTCAATCAACGATTGCTTTATCCTTATTATGAGCCATTGTGTTACCCTCACCATTAATCACATGCCCTAAGAATGTTATGCCCGTCAACCATAATTCACACTTTGACAACTTGGCATATAACTGGTTCTACTACAGTGTTTGAAGAATTATGCAGATGATCTGCATGATAAGTTTCGTCACTAGAATAGATTAGAATGTCATTGATAAAGAAACTTACAAATCTATCCAAATATGGTTTAAAGTTTTTGTTCATAAAATCCATAAAAATGGTGAGAGCATATGACAACCCAAAAGAAATGACAATAAACTCATAATGCTCATATCTGGTACTGAAAGTAGTTTTTACTATATCATCTTCTCTAATTCTTAGTTGGCAATAACCTGATCACAGATCAATTTTTGAAAATACAGGTGCCCTTTTAATAGATCAAAAAGATCATCAATCTTTGGCAACTAGTACATTGTTTTGATTGTGAGCTTATTTAATTCTCTATAATCAATGCATAACTTTAAGCTCCTATCTTTCTTCTTAACAAAGAGCACTGGAGCTCCCCAAGAGGAAGAGTTTGGCCAGATAAATCCTTTCTCTAATAAGTCCTGCAACTTACTTTTTAACCCTTGTAGTTCCCTACTTGTCATCTTATAAGATGCCTTTACCATTGGTTCTCTTCTTGTATTAATTCAATAATGAAAAACATCTCTTTTCTTGAAGGCAGCCTAATGAATCATCTGAGATTTATGATTACTTTTTTACTATTGGTATATCCTCCAACTACTTTGGTTCTTTCATATTATCACTGACTTGAGCTAGGAAAACATGGTACACTTTTGCTAACAGTTTGAAGACCTTTAAACTAGATATTGCCATGGATAAAACTCTTCTCTCTCACAAACTTGAATTCTTCTTCTTCAAGGAAATTGAGTTTGAGTATTTTTACGGAGCAACTGTTGGTTGTCAAGTGATTAGATGGCAAATACACCTTAAGGTAACTTTTAATTCGGTTAGTAGAAACACTACCAAGTTCGCTTTCAATCCTTTATCATAGATGATCAGGTTCACACAACAGTTATTATGCGAGACCCGTTAAGTAGAATGATTGATAAGACATCAGACATTTGAATCAGTCTAATCCTTCAGATCATCTCACTAATTCTTCATAAAGAAATGAATGTAATGTTCCAATATCAAATAGAGTTTTGACCTATTTATTGTGAATCGATACCAAACTTATAAAAAAGAGAATATAAATGTTTAGAAATAAATATAGATTTGGCAGATATGTTGAAATAAGGAAATACATGTAATGAGGTCAGGTGAATTCTTTGTTTCATGTTGAGTTAGTTCAAAAACTCAAGGTTTTACACCCTGACAGGTCTAACTCAGAGCTAGAGCCGATCCAGATGACTCAGCCTACCTCTGTTTGCTAGATCTGCTTTGAGAATGTGGAGCACTAGCACTAGTATCTGCAGAAGGTTTATGACCTAAAGTAGGGTAGAATCTCATCATGTGTCTTGATTGATGACACTAAAAAAAAGTGTTGGTGCCTAAAAAACATTCTCCTCGATGTCTTCTCACACTTAGCACAGGTATTGTTGTCTGTGCCAGTATCACTGTTGTAGGATCTAGGCTTCTTTAAGTTGGACTACCCAGACTCTACAGACTAGGTGGCCTACCCAAATATGGATCTCTTATCTCATCTCCTTTTCTAAATATCTCTTCGCCTCTGAGTAGCCCACAAATCATACTCTATCCTCCTCTCTCTATTCACTGGAAGAGAATATCCTCAATGCCAAGAGGAATTAAGGGTTGTCTGATCACATCCTTTAACCCAGATAAAAAACAATGACACATTTCTTTGGAATTTGATATTAAGTAAGGTGCATACTTAGAAAACTTCGTGAACTTTACTTCATACCGGCATGATAGAATGGTAACCTTGTACCAACGTGATAAATTAGCTCTACATCTTTCTCCTGATTGAGAGAAACAAACCAATCATAGAAAAGCCTCGTGAAATCCTCCCACAGAATTTGGTTGTGGGGTCGTCCTCCAAACTTTCTGCAGTTGCTCCTACAATCACTTTTATGCTTCTTCCTCAAAAGAAAAGTAGGTCAATATAGCTTTCTCTCCTATGGGCAGGACAAAATTGTTTTCTTGATTTGCAAAAAACCATTTCTCAGCCTCTAACTAACCCTCCCACTGCTGAAAATAATGGAAGTTTCATGTCCTATAACAATATTCAAGTGCATAATAATAATGAAGGAACATAATTACTGCCGCTATCTTTTTTCTCAGGTCAAACAAATACTCCACTGCATCTAGAACAACAAGTTTTACTTAATTAGCTCTTATTCATTTCTAATCTTTATTTCATAATTATTTCTATCTTTCCTGTTGTTATTTACATTCATCTATAAATTATCCATTTAATTAGTTATTTATTGAATACATTTATACATATATATAGACGTATGTAAATATTCAAATTATTTTTATTTCTCTAAAATATCTGATGCAACCATATTTTACTTATTAATTTTCAAATTTTCTTCTTGCAGTATTTAAATTTTTAATCTAACTTGACACTAATTAATCAGAAATTTAGGGATTAATTATTAAAATTCAAGTTCGTACTTCAAGTTTCTTCCCACGGAAAAAGCCCAATTTTCGTGTTTTAGCCTTATCACCAAGTACTTCAAAGCATTATTAACCAAGTTTAACAAATTTTTAACATAGGGTTGTCTAAAATTCCCTTTAAATTAATTAGAATTAAGTTTCTATACAACTAACAATAATAACAATTCAAATCCCTAATTATTTGTCTAAGACTCCCTTTCTTCTTCCATTCTTTCTCTCCTTTCCTCTCTCTGTCTCTCTATCTAACCCCCGCTCGCTTGCCTTCAGTCTATAGTGGGTTCGAATAAGAGGATATGAGGAATAATCTTCGTGTACATTCTCAGGGGTGGTGGGGAACCTCTTGATCGACACCCATGTCTCAATCTATTTTTCAATCTCTACCTCATTATAATGGTCAAACGCTCCCTCCCTACGTCCCTTTTTCTCCCCTTCTCTCTCTCCTTCCCCCCCTCTCTCTCTCTCTCTAACTCCCGCTCGCTCGCCTTCAGTCTATAGTGGGTTCGAATAAGAGGAGATGAGGAATAATCTTCGTGTACATTCTCAGGGGTGGTGGGAAACTTCTTGATCGACACCTATGAAACTAGTGTCATAAACAGTAAATTCATTTTTTTAAGTTAATCTAAAATTTTAAAAGACCATTACATTTACCATTAAATCGAGGGAGTCTGCGAAAATGTTCAAGAAAGAGAAGGCCAAAATAATGATGAAGGAACATAAACTCCTAGAGAAAAATGAGAACCAAAACGAGAAGCAATCAAGAATCCGGTGTACGATAAATCAAATGTCATACTTAACAAGAACATGGTTATTATGCTTTAGTATGTTGGCATAGATTATAATTTATTGACAAAATGCAAATTTTACAAACAAGTAAGAAAAGGTTGATCTTAATATTTTATTAGCATACCAAGGAGAAGGAAACCAACAAGCAGTTCATATGGTACTAGAACATTTGGAACAAGCAGTAACATGAGTGGCTGCAGATGCAAGTTTTACAAACAAGAAAAGGTTGATTTTAATATTTTATTAGCATACCAAGGAGAAGGAAACCAACAAGCAGTTCATATGGTACTAGAACATTTGGAACAAGCAGTAACATGAGTGGCTGCAAAGAAACGTTTGGGGAGCTATAGAGAGAGTCATAAATGGAAATGTCTCTTTTGCTCTTCCAAGGTGCTGGTGAAGATTGAAAGTAAAATTATCATCAACATGAAAGAAGAAAATCGTCGATTTACTTCAAATGTCAACAATGTACCAAATATAACAAGTAATATTTTGAGTTTGGGCCAACATTATCATTATAAATCAAGCATAAACCCGTTAAATGCCTAAAAGGAGAAACTTCTAGCAGAGACGTCATATCATGCAACAAAGCCACCAGAGATCTTCTACATCAATATTTGTCAGCCCATAACTTCTTCATTTAGAGAAACTACTATTTTGTAGCCGACCCCACTTAATGGGATAAAGGCTTGTTGTTGATGTTGTTGTAGTATTATGGCAAAAGAGCTTGGATTTATCTACTAAAAGAGAAATCAAAACTATTTCACATCTTCAAAGTTCCACAGCAATGGTGGATAATCAAAATGACACCAAAATCAAAGCATTAAATTATCAGCATGAAGGACAATTCACTTCTAAAATCTTTGAGAAGTATTATAAGGAGCATGAAATGCAATGACTTTTAACGATTCCAGACTCACCCTAATAAAATGGCATTGTGAAAGTACTATCTATCGTTTTCTGAGTGATCATCAAAACCGCATAAATCAAATATCGACCACATTAGCTTTATTTGGGTGAAATTAAATTGGCACATCATGGTTCTTCATCAGTTCAATTCTTCGTCACTATCTTAAGTTCAAATACCTGTAAAAATGTATTTCTAGATTTTACGATTAATGAAAACCTTATAATGAAAGACAAAAATAATAACTCTAGAACTTTAATACCAAAATAGTTGCAGCCAGCTCCAACATATGAGTAAATTTTTGTAATAAACCTCAAGCTGTCTAGAGCATAAGCTGCCTCATTGTCATGCTGCATAAGAAAACAATATAGCATTGACGTGAAGCATTACTATAATAAGATCCATCGATGCTAGAATGAATGGTGAGTATAAAAGCTAACACAAAAAATTTTGGGCTTCTGAAAACTTTGATCATAGGATCACACAAAATTAACAAGACTTTTAAGCCAATCTAATAAAAAGTATAGCAATAATAATAATAATAATAAAATCTTCAACAAATCTCTTACAACAGCTAACTAAATAAAAAAAACACTACAAATCTCTATAACAAACCATGACATTAACGAAATCAATATTGCCCTGAGCTTCGAAGGATCGAAAAAAATTTTAGCTTCATTATCGTTTCCAAAAATCTTCATCCCAAAGCCAGAACTCATCATTAGAGAATTTTTTATATTAAGCTTATTATGTTGAAGAATATTTAATGCTGTTATGAGATTTCAGATATGATGCTCTTTACTTTTAGTGTATATCAAGATATCATCAATAAATACAATCATAAAATGATCTCAACAAGATTTAGAGTTTCTATTTATAAAGTTCATAAAGGTGGCATTAATAAATCTAAATGGCATTACCAGAATTTTATAGTGTCATATCAATATCTAAAAGTAGTATTAAACACATTATCATTTTAATCTTAAACTAATGGTACCTAAACTTTAGAATATAAAACCCTGTAATTATTCAATCAAATAGTCTATATGAGGTAAAAGATAATTATTATTCATCGTCATCTTATTCAACTCTTTGTAGTCGAGCAGAACCTAATGATTTCATCTTTCTTATTTACAAATAAGACTCGTGCTCACCAAAAATGTACTATTGGGCCTAATAAATCCTCTGACAAATATTTCTTACAACTAAACTTTAAGATCTTGGAACCCAATAGTTATCATTCAATATGTTGTTTTAGAAATTAATGTGATACATGAAACTAGATCCATGATGATCTTGATCTCACGATCAAGTGATATGTCAGGTAAATCTTGAGGAGTCGACCAGCAAGACATAATAGGCTCAGAATAAGATTCTTATCTGTTTGAGCATATTTTTTGGTGGAGACTCCTTGCGGATGATATCCCCATTAATAGTTAGCTACACATAAGAGGTCTTAGTGAGACAAATTCTTGCCCTAGGGGTTGCCCAGGTGTGGAGGACAGAACCCGGATCACTTTTAATTATTCGTTGCTAGTTGCAGTTACAGGTACCCTGAAAGGGTTTAAAGATGCTACCAGTGATCTTGCCAAAGTTAAATCCAGCAACTCAACGCTTGCCCTCATTTATGGCAATACAGTGCACCAATGTTGGGGTGCCAGAAATGCAGAGAAGCATGGATGACCGCATGGAAGTCATACTACCATTGCATCAACTCTTCTCGATGCTCTCACCCGCACGCACTTATTTCCCACTCCAACGCATTGTGATGCTCTTTCAAGGTGCTGATGAAGATTAAAAGCAAAATTATCATCCAATTGAAAGATGCACTCATCGATTTACTTCTAATGTCAACAATGTACCAAACATGATAGGTAATATTTTGAATTTGGGCCAACATTTAGAAAAAAGTTACATTATTCATAGAAAAGAGATACATCTCTACTTGCAAGATCATGCTAATAATTTTTGTATGCCCATCCAAATTTCAAATAATCAACTTTTATTATTAAATATCAAGCATACATATGTAGAATGCCTAAATTTCAAATAATCATTTTTTATTATTAAATATCAAGCATAAACATGTTGAACGCCTAAAAGCTAGCGTCACACAAAAGAATTGTCAAACCTGTAAATGGTGAATAAATTACATCACATCAATACTCCAAAACAATTTTGATAAGGGCGTAAACAACCAAGGAGAAACTTCAAGCAAGAAACGTCATATCACCCAACAAAGCTATTGGAGCTCTTCTAAATCCATATTTGTCGACCCATAACTTCTTCAATTGGAGGAAACCCTTATTTATTTTATTGATGATTATGACAAAAGAGCTTGAGTTTATCTACTAGAAGAGAAATCAGAAGTATTTCACATCTGCAAAGTTGCACAGCAATGGTGGAGAATCAAAATGACACCAAAATCAAAGCATTGCAATCTCACATGAAAGCGAATTCACTTCTAAAATCGCTGAGAATTATTTTAAGAGGCAAAGTTCAATAAATTTTAACGACACCACACTCACCCTAATAAAATGACATTGTATAAGTACTATTTCAGGCTAAAGTTGTTTCTCCTCAAGTACTAATTGCCACTACTGAGTGATCATCAAAGCTATATAAATCGAGGATTTCCTATCAGATTATATGCAACCATACCAGCTTTATTTGGGTGATAATAAGTTTACACATCATAGTTCTTCATCAGTTCAATTCATCGTCACTGTCTCAAGTTCAAAATTTTTTTGAGTAAAAATATATTTCTGATTTTTATTATTAATGAAAACCTCATAGCGAAAAATAAAAATAATGAGTCTAGAGATTTATTGTCAATATAGGGTCTGTTTGGGGCAGCTACAGCTGCTTAAAGAAGCAACTGTGCAGCAGCTGTCGGAGAAGCTATTGTGGGAAAGTTATAGTTGGTGAAGTTGTGTGTGTTTAATTAGTTCAGTTGTGCTTCAGCTATGTTGCAGCTGTTTCTAAAATAAAAATCGTATTGCCCTAATATACATGTGTTATTTGTAAGTTAACTATTTCAAAGTTAACTCATACATAACAACATAAACAAATTTAAAAAATTCTCAAAAAAATCACAAGTCAAAATTATCACATCAAAAGTATACATCATTTAACACCGAGTAACACTAAAACTAAAATTATTAATGCAATAAATAATATTATAGTAATATTACTTTGAATGTTCAAACAATCAAGTATGCTAGAAACATTTTTTCTAAAGCTACTCTCCACGCATTATCATTATCTGAAGTGGACTCCTAGAACTCGTCAGTCAGTCTAAAGAAGTCATAGTCTTCTAAAATTTTCTACTATAGCTAGCTTCTCCTTGTGATATAAATACACAACAATGTAATCCAAAGTTGCAGTATATCATTCTAGACGCAGTAAAAATCCTTGAACCTGTATGTCCTAACAAATTAGAGTTTAATAGATAAAATGAGCTTTTATTAATGGTACAATGACAAAGTTACAAAAAAAATTAAATAATAAGAAAAGCAAAGATACAACTTTAAAGTTAAATAGAAAATGAGGTAACATAGTCAATATAAATAAATGAATAATCCGTCATTATAAGAATACAGAGGATGTAGAAATATGGGAATCTTGGTTGTCTTTAAGCAATTAATATAGAACTTGTATATGTCGGAAAGCATATCAGCAAATAGGTCCTTCAGAAGAACTGCTACGGTCATATGACTCAAAAAAAAAGGATCTTAGTCTCCTTGGTACCAAACTCGTATAGGTGAGAAACCATAGCAACATAAAGGCCAACAGAAGAACCCATAAGGTAATATATAGGATCTTAGTCTCCTTGACCCATAAGGTCATATATTCAAAAAAAAAGGATCTTAGTCTCCTTGGTACCAAACTCGTATAGATGAGAAACCATAGCAACATAAAGGCCAACAGAAGAACCCATAAGGTCATATATCTCATCATAGACCGCCAAACAAATTAAATGCAAAAAAATCTTACATATAGCACACCCAAGATTGCCTAGGAGGCCATCCAAGAGGGATCAAATACAACATGCTCATAGCAAAGAATACAACAACAACAAAACCTTAATCCTACTAAGTGGGGTCGGCTACATGAATCCTTTTTTCTCCATTGCGTCCAATTTAGTGCCATACTTTCATTTAATTCTAATAAATTAAGATCATTTTTATACAATAAACCCAAGTCTTCCTAGGTCTACCTCTGTCTTTCTTAACATAAGTCAAATCTAAAACATCTACTCTCCTAATCGGATCATTAGATGGTCAATGTTTAATGTGACCAAATCATCTAGGACGACTCTCTTTAATTTTGTCTTTCATTGGAGCTACAGCAACCCTATCATGAATATATTCATTTCGCATTTTGCCTCTAAATGTAAAGCCACTCATCCATCTAATCATTCTCATCTCGGGAACACTTAACTTGGTATTATGCTTCTCTTTTAAAGACCAACATTCAGTGCCATAGAGCATTGCAAGTCTCACCACCATCTTATAAAATTTTCTTTTCAGTCTAAGTGGTACTTTTCTATCACACAATAGGCCTGAAGCATTCCTCCACTTCAACGAACCAACTTGACATCTACTATTAACATCCCCATCTATATCACCATCGCTTTGAACAACAGACCCGAGATATCTAAATCGTTCACACCTTTTAATAATTTGATCACCCAAAGTTACACTTCTGTCACCAGAGCTACTACTACTAAAATTACATTCCATGTATTCAATTTTAGTTCTACTCAAACGAAAGCCTTTAAACTCCAATGTAAACCTCCATAATTTAAGTTTTTCTTCGGCTTTTTCTCTCATCTTATCCACAAGAAGGATATCATCAGCAAAAAGCATACACCAAGGTACATGCTCCTGTAAATGTCCAGTAAGACAATACATAATTAAAGCAAAAAGATATGGGCTTAAAGCCAATCCCTGATGTAATCAAATAGAAATAGGAAAATATTTGGTCAATCCACCTTCACTTCGAACACAAGTAACAGCTCTAGTATACAAATCTTTAATGACTTGAATGTAAGTCATATCAACACCTTTCTTCTCAAGAAAATTTCTCTTGGAACTTTGTCGTAAGATTTTCTAAATCAATAAAAATCAAATGTAGATCCTGCTTATTCTCACTGAATTTCTCCATTAAACCTTTCAATAAATGTATAGCTTCCATAGTAGACCTGCTCGGCATAAATCCAAATTGATTATGAGAAATCTTTGTAATATGTATTAACCTATGTTCAACTACCCTCCTTAGTTAATACATGTATAGCTCATAGCAAAGAATAAAAAAAAAATACAATCATGGCAGGATCCACAAATATAACAATGAAAAAAGAGTCAATATAAAGAGGTTAATAATAAAACATCATATGATGTCACAAAATAATCACTCATTAACTAATGCATTTGCAATGTGCTCTCGTAATTCAATCATATCTTCAACACATTTCTCATCTTATGTGCTGGAGTCAACTATATCACAATCATTTTGTGAAATTGACTGCCTCAAGCAGTGCCCATATGCCTCAGGAGGAACATGCGATTAATTTTCATCAGCACCACTAAAATCAATGTTAGTTGTTGCAGGATGTTGGCAAAAAAAATTATGAAGTCATTGTTGCAGCCACAATATTCACATGTTTCCTGAAATAATATGTAGACATATCTCGAAGAATAAGACTTTTTTTTCAAACACTAAATGTTACTTCAATAACATCTAGTAAAGAACATTGTCATCTGTTAAATATTTATTTTCTCCCCTAAAACACTTGGCTACCTCATTCAAAGTCAGGAATATGATATGACGTCTAAGGATATGATTTTCACATTGTAAAAGGTAACTAGCATCAACTAAATAATATTTTCCTACATTGAATTTAATCATTAATACATGTTAAAAAATATGAAATTAATTGTATACAAGCTAATCTGCAGATGGCATAGGAAAATTGTAATGACTATTTTGCACAACAAAATTGAAGATACGACTATCATGTGCACTGTTTTCTCATCCAATTATTACAAAGATGAACTACATAGTGAAATCACATGCAATCATAGTGTTCGGTGTTGGTGAGTCACAACGCCCGATGTATGAACTTTTTTCACTTTTAGGTACTCGTGCATCAATATGTGTCAATTAATAGCGCCAATGCAATACCATATCATGTAACTAAGATATTTACATTGATTGAGTACATAAAAATATATTGTAAAAGATGAACACCAAGATCTACCTTAGAATATGACATACATCGAAGATCATGCAAAATCTTTTTGGGCGTGCTTTGAAATGTTGAGTCTTCAAGTCAAATAGTTTTAGAAGATATACTAAACAAAGCATCCAAACCCTACCAATTCTTTTGATACCAAGTATAGAAAAGTTCACTCCCCTCTTGTGATAATAAATAATAACATAATACTTTACCATTCTATTTTGATGTCAACTTCTATTGCATTTCTACCACCCATTTTTATGTTGATATTGTTTAAAATATGCTCTCGTTCAATTATCAAAGATAACTGTTCATGAGTCTTGAGAGTAATCATTGATTTTATAATCATTACTATAACAACTGAAAACTTGTAAATAAGCAAATTATAAAGTCTGAAATAATTTTTATTGTAGTGAGTACGACGTCAATTGTTCTTTCACTTCTCCACCTAAATATTTGTGTGTATCTGTTTGTTGAGTATTTATATTGTTCTACTTCTAAGCAATATTATTCTGCTTAGCAATCTTCCCTTCACAAGCATTAATCTCTATCTCTATATATACAGTTTGCTCTACCAGCACCATGAATATAGTGCATTTAACAGATGATAGATATTTCCTAATATTCTCTCATAAAATCGCAGGTATTTTGATCTTTATGCTAATAGTTGGATGTAGTAAATTTGACAAACCGAAGAAGCTGGGTCTAGTACTCTTGCACACACTGTTCATTGTTACAACATCTTTAGATCATTTACCAATACAAAATGATGCTTCGATTGAAAACAACCTATTAAACTCTATCTAGAGGACCACTTTATCATATTGAAATTTGTTGAATGCATGACTGTCCCATCAATCAGCAGCACCTTCTCATAGCAGAATGCTGACATATTCACTTTACGCTCTTCAAAACATTTTAAACATCAATGTCATGAAGCCACATACCAAACTCGAATCTATTGTCCCATTGAATGTACGAGGATGTATTTTTAACAATTTCTCTAACACTTAGTTTATCTTTTCCTTCATTAACAAGAAAAATCTATAGAGATTTAATTTCAATATTAGCACGACTATGTCAAGTATTCACAAGGATAAGTCAAATAATTAAATCAGGTCAATTGGCAGGTAACTTATATAAATCATTATAATAATTAAATCAGGTCAATTGGCAGGTAACTTATATTGCCTAGGTTATAATTTTATGGACTAACACTCAGATTTCCATGCCTTTATTTACATGTAAGCAATTGATTGAGAGTTTGTTATGTAAGGCTTTGAATTGTTCATCTGGAATGATTTGGTTGGATCTCTATTAACTTGGAGTTTCCTATCACTCACTTTGAGCTAATTTTTATTTATTAGAAGATAAACATATTATTCTTCATTTGCAGTATTACTGCTGATGTTTGCAATAAAATTTTAAATATTGTATAGTTTGCTAGTTTTACCTTTCATAAATAGCTATTATTATACATATTTTCGTAGATCTTACTTAAAATTCATAATCAAATAATCATATGAGATAAATAGTTTTGCCTTGATTTTTTATGCCATAAATGTCTAAATATTAACATAATCCTTATGGAGGCAAGATCTGCTTTCTTACAAATTGACTCTATTGAATGTAAAAAATTTTATTGTTCAAAATTATTTTTTTTTATCGAGATAGAATTGGTCATATTTATTATAAAACACCTATTCAACATTTTTTATATTGTGTAAAATGTGCATGTTTATTTACAATAAATATGTATGTCGATAGAATTCCTTTTGAAATTAACTAGCCAAGCTAAGGGGTCTACAAATAAATCATTACATTTCTATGAGTGGATGCTTATTTTTCTGAATTCAGGATATCATTTGAAAAGCTATGGTAGATACATACAAATATAAAAAAAATGATAAATGATTGATGAGCCGGTTGTGCATATGTATGATTCTATCTAATATAGTTACATATGAATATATAGCATAAAGATATATTAATGAATATTTTCATACAAATGATTAGAAGCATCACCATATTATAGATCACATTAAGATATATAATGCTCACCCTTTTATGCTAAATAATATTAGAATAATATAATGATTTGATGACACTATTACACGGATTTTACATAGTGATCATTAATCTTTTATTATTTATATTGCATGTCCTAATATGTTATCATTTATGCTTTAATAAATAAAAGTTGCTTATTGATTTAAAATTGTCAAACATTTATTATAACTTTTTTTCATATAACATGTTCTATTAGGTTATTGGATGGATCGTTATTCTAACAGTAGACTTTTTATTAGTAGTATTCGATTTGAAATTTTTTAATTTATAATAAAATTTCCAATTGTACTGTTTTATTTTTGAGGTAATCCTTAATTAATGTAGTTGTTCTTCTAATTTCTTTTCTATCATTTTGTTTCTGCTTCCCAATTGAACTATTGTTGGGATTTCATTAATACAACATATTATTTACTTACTCTTACATTTTCTACTTATGATTACTTGTATATAAAACTTTTACTCTTTACTCTAAGAATAAAAAGGTTTAATCAATCTCTACTTTTGAAATTTAGTTCGATAGTTGAAATCAATTCCTTTCTCATGTCTCGTGTTACTAGGGTATAACATCTATGGGGCCCGAAGTGTAACATAAATCTCTCCTAAAAAAACATAAATGTTACATATATATTAGAAAGAAATACTCAACTATCTCCAATTCTTGCCATGAATCATCTACGCTCTGAAAACATGACCAAGCTACCTAAATTTATTTCAGAATTATTACCAACATATTTTTTAACATTGAAGAGCTATTAAGGCCCACTTCTTGAATTACCTACGCATAGTATACTGAATCACTTAGCAAAGCAAGCTCGAAAACCATATGTGAGCCTTGAGATCAAAATCATGGAAATGATAACCATATGTGAGCCTTGAGATCAAAATCATGGAAATTATTTGATACATTAAGCAAAAATACCAATTTTTTAAATTTATAATAAGTTACTATTGAACTCAATATAAGTTGTAAATAAGCCAAATGTAACATCAACAATTATTTTTATTTCACGGTTTTTTTCTTTAATTGTTGCAGAAGGAAAATTTAAATGAAGGTAGAGGTGAATTCCTATAATGCTTAACCCATCACATTTTGCTGGTTTTCAATAGCTTTATAAGGGCATTATCTTAAAATTAAAAAGTAAAAGATGCATATCATGAATCCTATTTTGCACTATATGGAATCATTATAAAGCAAATAATACTTGAAGCAAAAAACAAAATCCAAAACGAAGATATGGAGGCTTCAATGTTGAAAATCTATATCTTATAGGACATTGAATTAGAAAGTGACCTACATGAAAATAATATTCATACCCACTATTAATCGAAGCCTCTTCAAATAGGGCACAATATATTCACCTCACTGCAGCGTAACCATCATTATACCATGATAACTCCAATGAGGGAAAAGCTAACTCTCACAAGAAATCTCTCCTTCTGATTAAAAGGGACAGATATCTTTAAGGATATGCTACATAATTCCAAGAATTTTTTCAATAATTATAGAAAGTCTGTAAAATTCTTGACTTTGGCATATACCTGCCTTGCAACATGATAGAATTAATGAATTGAAACATGCAAAATCTATCACAGAATCCTTCCCCAATTTTTGAAACAGCTTTAGAATTTCCCCCAACTTCTGACCACCAGCCAACCAACGTAACAGACGACTAATCAAATCCTGCATGAAATCATCTCTAATGGTCCCATGTACAAGCTCAATAGCCTCTTCAATCCTTTCTTCCTTATAAAGACTATCAATCACAATACAGTAGGTGAACTTATTTGGAGTCATGTTCTTCTGAATCATGTCAGAAAACAGATTTATAACCTCCTTGTTTTCTCCAAATAGGTAAAACTGATGAAGCAATGTGTTGAATGCTAGAACATCAGGACCAAAACTCCAAATTTCATTGATCAAATATCTAGCCAGCTGAAACTTTCCGCCTGAAAACACACTCCGAATTATCAGTGTAAGGGTACATGCATCTGGTTCAATCCCCTTCTTGACCATATTACTAAAGAACAACAGAACATTAGTAGACCAACCACGATCAAGAAATCTACTCATTATAGTGTTGTAGAAAACAATATCCGGGCGCCAATCCAATTCTGAACTCTTTTCCAATATCTTCATTGCCTCCAGTAACTTACAATCTCTGCACAAACAATCGAAGAGTATATTCAAAGTTTCCAAACTTGGAAGCAGACCATTGCATCTCATATCATTCAAAAGTCCAAATGCTTCGCCAATCCTTCCAGCTTTACAAAGACCATTCATATAAACGTTGTAAGTGACCTCATCTGGCTTCCAACCCTTCGACTGGCTCTCACCCAAAATCTTTTCTACCTCATCAAATTCACCATGTCTACTCAAAGCGTCAATCAGTACTGTGTAAATGAAGGTATCTGGAGCAAACCCATAATTTTCAATCAAACCCAGAAAGTGCTTTGCTTCCTTGACCTTTCCTTGAGAACAATAACCATGGATGAGAGAAGTACATGCCTGGGGTGTGGGGCTGCATTTTTTTTCAAGCATGAAGTCAAGAATACCTACAGCTTCCGAGATTCTTCCAGCACGGGATAGCGCAGCAATGAAGGTAGAGTAAGTGATGGCATCAGGTAGCGGACCATAATGGAGCATTCTGTCAAGGAGAGAATAGGCATCATCGAACCGACTAGCACGAGTGGAGTTGAGGATGAGTTTGAGGAAGATGGTGAAAGAGGTGGTAGTGAGGCGTAGACCGGAGGAAAGAAGCGCGAGGAAGGCTGAAGAAGCAGCAGTAGTGTGGTTGGCAAGGAGAAGAGAGTTGATAAAAGCGTTGTAAGATACAGTGGATGGACGGAAGAGGTGGCGGAGGAAGCGGCGGGCAGCGGCAGTGGCGACGGTACTTGAATGCGAGAGGGGACAGGAGGAAGGGAAGGGGGAGGAGGGCCGATTGCTGCGGCGCGAGAAGGAGAAGACAGAAGAACGGAAGAGTGAGAGGTATTCAGAGGACGGGGAACACCTGGTAAAAGTGGCGGCGGCGATGCCTTGACGGCCGGCGGTAGTGTCGGGAAGACGATGACACGGCAAAACTGAGATATAGGGCATAAGAAGGAATTGGTAACCGGGAAACGCAAAGCGAGCGCAATCGATGGTTGTAGGATCATAGCATACATAACCGATTTGATAGTCTTACAAAATTACACATTAGTTTTATTAATAGCAAAATTTTGAATGCTCTACATATATAATTATCTCTAAATTAAAAATAAAAATTTTTTTAAACTTATTTTTGAGAATTTTGAGATGCCATGTTTAATAGTGAAGGTTTAAATTTTTGCATACATTTTATATTTTGTGGATAATAATTAGTTATCATAAATTTATTGATAATTTTTTTTTTTCTTTTATTAATTTGCTAATAAGAAAAATGCTATAATTTCAATTTTTCTTGAACCAAATTTAAGTTTTTCATGACTCAATTAAGATGGGATAAAATGAATAAATTTTTATTTGTATTGATATTTTTAGGTTTTATAAACTAAATTATTTTTTGGCACATTGACGTGTAGAAAAGAATGCTTAAATTGTTTTATTGTTTTACAAATTGTACTTTAAAGAAATGTGTTTTTGTGTTTTTCTTGCAGATACAATAGATGTTGAAAGTGATGCAATGTGAAGGGGACTTGGAGCAAAAGAGCACAAGGAGACTGACAGTGGTGCCTATGCGCCGGACCCCTAAGCACTTAGGCGCCAGTCTCAACTCTAGCAAACCAAGAGGATGACACATAAGCGCCACCCACTTGACACCAAGGTGCCGCGATAATGGTACCTAGGAGCCACGCCCTTAAGCGGCAAGGCGCCCCTGCATTCATAGCAAACCAAGAGATTGGCGCCTGCAACTATCTGAGGCAGTTTTTAGCAGTTTAACCACCTGTCGTGGGAAGTTGTGCAGATGGCCATGGGGGCTTTTAGGTTTTTTCTTATGAGTCTATAAAGGGGAAGCATTAGAGGTTTTTGAGGGATGGATGTAGGTAGGACTAAATTAGGATTATTTTGAGTATATTGGTGAAAATTGAGTTGTAAAGTATGGGAAAGGTTGTGAGTGTTGTAAACTTGTGTTCCTTCTTCCTCTTAAGTGGAGAAAAGGGAATGATTTCTGGAGCAGCAGCAGAAAAGCATTTGGTGGAGCATCTTCAGGTTATTATAAAGAAGAGGAAGATAAATGCTTGTATATTTCATTTGTTGTATCTCCTTAAACACATCATTTAGTGGAATTATCTTATTTTCAATGAAGTTTTGTGGTATGTTCTTCATGCTTTCTGACTAGTACTTTTTGCCTTACCTTATGATGATTGAGTAGGATGTGTAGGAGTGCAAAATGTTTTCATAATTATTTTTAATTACTTAATTTTATGATTAATTTTCAAATCTTCATTTAATTTTCATTCTCGCCAAGTAAAATGTTGAATGTGTTGTGAACCATAATGACTTCAGAGAGCTATGGTAAAATCAACTAAGTTATTCACATTAAACTATGGAATATAGTAAAATGCTTCGTAGGTAGATGTAAATGTTAGGGAAATATTCTTTGGTGGGTACAAAATGAGATTTAAGGAACTAAAGTTATTTTAACCAATCTTCTTTATGCACTCAGAAGAAGGTAAATAAGAGATTTGTGCCTATTTATTACTAGCCACGTTTACAATTAACACTTTACATTTCCTATACTCTGCTTAAATCATTATAAGGGAGGGTAACTTTATAACTTGATATTCACCAATCCAACGACTATGTTAAGTTGGATTTTTGTAGAATTTAAGCTTTAGAAATTGTTTGTGTTACACTAGATTAGTTTTTAGGAATTTTTAACCCAATCAAAATTCTAGGCTAGGAACGAAACTAGTAGGCTAAAACTTTTCCTAAGTCTAATTCCCTTATTCCATATGGGATCAACATTCCAAACTCAAAACCCCGATATTCGTGTTATGACACATGCATTTGTGTGAGTCCTCAGAGTGTAGTTGCGCTTGGAGGTAATATGAAGTTTGTGGCATTGTTAGCGGAGAACGACGGTGTATTTAATTTAAGAGAATTTTAGCTGAATCTCTAGGTCTTATACTTGAAATACTTTTAGTGTTAATTGCTTGCGTTTAATGTATTTTTCTGCTTTTGAAAAATTTTAAAAATTTTTGTTTGATTGTGTGTGAATTTTACCTACTAGATTCTCTAGTTCATGTATGCATAGTGTAGGGCATAAGGGGCGTGCACCATATGATTTTGAGCTAGAGAGAACTATACGAAAAGTTGAGAAACAGGAAAGACTTCATGAACTTGTAGAAGAAATTGTGAACAACCCACAAACCATTTTAGATACCCAAGAACTAACCCATGGACTCATGATGCACATAGATTATTAATAAACTATGTTAACCTTACGGTGGATAAAATTCACTTAGACATTCAGAATCTTATCGTAGAAGCTAACACATTCGAACTGAAACTTGTTATCGTCAAATGGTGCAGAACAAACACTTTGGGGGAAACCCGTTTGAGGATCCAAACTTGCACTTAACGAGTTTTTTAAAACTCTGTTCCACTTTTTGCTATAATGGTGTTTCCAATGATGTTGTTAGTCTCTGGCTTTTCCCTTTCTCCTTAAGGGACAAAGCCATAAGATGATTAAATTCATTAGCACCTGAATCAATTAGAACATGGAGTGATAACCCAAGAACTCCTAGCTAAGTATTTCCCACTTTCAAAAATGAAAAATTTGAGGAACAATATCACTTCATTTTGCAAGTACGAAGGTGAGTCGATTTATGAAGCTTGGGAACGATTCAAGGAACTGCTTAGGACGTGCCCTCATTAAGTGTTGCCCAATTGGTTGATAATTCAGACTTTTATAATGGTTAGTAGGTTCTCTTAGGTCTATTCTAGTTGTCTTTGAAAGAATTTATTTTGTAAATGAGGAATCAGTTGCAAAGCCAAGGTGCAACTATTAGAAACATAGAGAACCAATTGGGACAGATTGCAAACTCACTTAGCAGTCGCACCAAAGGAACTCTTAGTAACACTGAGATTAATCATAAAGAGAAGAATGTTGAGCACGTAAAATTTGTCAAGTTGAGGAGTAGAAAAGAGTTGGAGGAAGTGGTCCAAAAAGATTCTGAGGTGGAGAAAGAGAACATGGAACCTGAACAACCCATGAAAGAACTTTCTAAGGATTTAGGAAGACCAGTCTCACCCACTAAGATTAACATAGAAAGACTACCACCACCATTTCCTCAAAGACTCAAAAAAAATTTTCGATCAACAATTTTCACGGTTCTTAGAAGTTTTCAAGAAACTGACTATTAATATTCCGTTTATTGAGGACCTGTAATAGATGCCCAACTATGTGAAGTTCATGAAGGATATACACAATAAAAAGAGGAGGTTTGAAGATTATGATACTATGGTTCTCAGTGAGGAGTGTAGTACTTTCACAAATAAGAAGCTTTCTCAAAAGCTTAAGGATCCTGGGAGCTTCAATATTCCATATGTAATTGGAGAAAAGTTCTATGGGAAAGCTTTATGTGATTTGGGTGCCAGTATTAACCATATATCATTGTCTATTTTTAAGAGGTTAGTATTAGGAGAGGTGGCCCCTACCACTGTAAACATTTAACTTGTTGATCAATCGTTCACTTATCTGAGGGGAGTTATAAGGGATGTTCTAGCAAAGTTGGATAAGTTTACCTTCCCTGTTGATTTATTTACATTAGATATGGAGTAAGATAAATAGATCCCTATCAAACAAGGCAGACTTGTCCTAATTTTTGGCCCATCCATGATTTTTGTGCAGAAGGGAGAGTTAATGATGAGTTTGACTGAACAAAAGGTAACATTCAATGTGTTAAAAGCTATGAAATTCTCTTCTGATTGTAATGAAGATTTATGTTGTAGGATGGATCACATCGACATTGTGTGTTGCCAAATGGCCCGAGGGATTTTCGATCATCCGATAGGGACATCTTAATTTAATTATAGTTGTTTTTTTGTGTGATGTTTGTGATTAAATTTTGAGGTTTCCTTTATTTTTAAAGTTAATGTTGTGATGGTGGATTTTATCTTGGTTGGTTTTAGATTTTGTTTTGGTTTTGGTTTTGTGGCTATCCTAGCAGTTTTAGTTTTCATGCAGGGTGACATCTTTGTTTAGCATGCAAGTTTTGTAAACATAGAAAGTACAGTATGAAAGTACGAGAAAGACAACACTGTAAACTATAAAAGCGTACGTGATGAGACTTCTCGTTCCACCACCTGAAACTTAAAATGCATGTGAGGGCATTTTATATAAAGCAGGAAAAGTAAGGTTTTGGTGATCTACCCATCCCTAGCTCATATCTTGGTGGGTCCCTATTAGTTTGATTAAGGATGATTTTTATTAAGAAAAACATATTAAGTTTATAGACCTCTGAGGTATCCAACAGATCAGGAGAAAGAAGAAGGTCCATGATTCCCTCTCACTGACTGGTAAAAAGTCTCGAACTCATTTAAACTTATTATGTTGTTTAATAACTCATCCTGTAAAAAATACTTCTAATGCTTAGTGAACATTGATGTTTCAATTATCCCTAAGAGTAGGGTACTGATCGCTTATGATTTAATTTGAGAATTATGTGGGTGAAGACCCATAAAGGGACAGGTTAGTATTGTTAAGACACTTAGCCAATTTTAACTTGGGCTTGTAGTGTCCAAAGGTATTTCAATTTTAGCTGCATTTACTTTTCTAATCCTCATTTAACCAAGTTTGATTTAACTTAGGTCACTACTTAGCCCCTTAAGACCTAGGTGGATATCTTAGTTATTTTGAAAAGGTTGAATCTTAAGTGATGATGATTCATTTTTTTGAGAGCCATTTGAACACCAAGTAGGGGTAATAAATTAATGAGTTATCAACACCCAAAACCATACCCCTAAGTCCAGGATCATTTAATTGACGAGACCTCCAAATTTTAATAATTAAAGGGAATTACAAATTTATCCTTTAATAAACAAAAGTTATATTGGTTTCTACCAACTAATCCCCTTTTGTTTCAATCATCCAAATATTTTTATTAAGATCAAAGGTTGTTCATTTCCCTTACTAGAGGTAGACTTAGACCAAAGAATCATTAGGACCAAGTTTTATGATTTATTGAGTTATACTTAAATTATTGAAATTATTTTAAGTTATGGAGTATTTATTAATTATAAAATATTTTAAATGTGGAAAATTAAGTTTTATATTTTTATTAAATCTCTCTAAGGCCAAGGAACCCAGAGAAACAAATTTCACATTTTTTTTTATTTTTCTTTGAATTGTTAGAATTATTTTAGTGAAAACACATTTTTAGCCTTTAAAAATTATTTTAAGCTTAAAAATTCAATATATTTACTTACAGAATTAGGAAAAATATTCCAATTGTTTTTAAGTGCTCAAGAAACAATTTAGAATATTTTCATGAATTTTATTATTTTTGTGATTTTTATTGATTTTTAAATATTTAAATATTAAAAATGAGTTTGAAAACAAAGTTTTTATTTTAATTACAAATTTATTTTTAGAAAAATTTTCTAACCGTAGAGATTTCTCAAAACTAATTTTCATAATTTTTTGAGTTATATTTTAATTTTTAAAAATCATTTTATTGTTAAAAATGACATTTAACTTAGAAAATTCATTTGAGTTATCAAACGAGCTCCAAATGTTTTAAAATTTTTATGGGGAGTTTTCTAAATCTCAAATTACAGTGGAGATTAAAAATTAAGCCATTTAGATGTTTGTGTTTCCCTAAATTAATTTTCTTTATGATTATTATGATTAATTTATGCAAATAATAGACATAAACTTGAAAAATATGGATCTCTGTTTAGATATCTCCTTTGACTTTGGAAAAATCAAAGATTGTTCCCTAAGACAGAGGCAACAACATGCCAAA